CAACCAACACGGGGGCAGAGAAGATAGTTAACTGGCCAGCGGACATAGTACCTTCTATTAGTATTGGATTATCACACTTGTATATAGCAAGTGCATAGTGAATATGCGGCGCATTATATACAATTATTGTGTAGATTCTATGACCTGATATAGGAAAGGTGTAAAGTATCAGTCCTCTTAGTCGATCTCTGCACTATTTATAGCTTATCTATTTCTTGACACTTAAGTCAATGGTTGTTTTTGGTCATGGCGAAACACCCCTGCTCACATTTCCCAGAGAGCTAATTCTTATCTCTACAGATGTTTTTTTTCTAGATTTTGATTTTTTAATGAATAAGGTATCGGTGAAAGTTATTTGACATAACTAATATAAGGGCCTGTCTGAGTTAGTGTAAGATAAGCTGACTATTCATTTTAGGTCCTACCCAGGGATAGAGAGGTTGTGGATATTGCAGGGCACCTGATATTATTTCATCATCCTTTCAATGATTAGGTGTTGTTCTAGAGTGATGATTGGGTAACCGGAAGAGGATACTTGGGTGCACCAGCACAGCTGAGAGGAATATGGCCCAGTTGCCATATTTCCATCAACGCATCGATTGCGGTCGGGACATGTGCTAGCGGAACTGGAAGATCAAGCCTCGCATTACTTTGCCACGTACACCACTGCGATGAGATAACATAGCAGTAAAAGTCGCCATGTTACTTCATAACGCCACTAGTTTTATTACTAACTATAGTACACATAATCTACTTATAAAGTGTAACCTGTGAGATGGAAATTTGTGTTTGTTCACTGGGCAATGGAAAGCTTGGGGGTTGTTGGCGCAACCTGGCAAACCTCTCAACAACCATCAATCCTTTACCATTTCTACAGTCCGTGACAATGGAAAACATTGGAACTTTCCCTTGTGGAATTTTAATTTAGCCCCCTAAATTAACAAAGAAATCAACACCCACCACTTGCAAAAAGCATTTACATGCAACACGTTGTAAATGGTAGGTAATTCACACTCTAAAAGAAAAAGGCGTTACTAACGCATGACAAAACATGAAAAAGTCCTGAGCTAGGGCAAAAAAGCACACTGGATTAACAACCATAGCAATGGAGAAAAATCATCAAACTTTAGTTGTGTTCAGAAATAATTTGAACAGCGAAAATAAATGGTGGTGAGGCATTCGAGCAGACCTGTTCGAGGTTGCTTCTCTCACCCAGGAGCGCCTGAGTGGAGGCAGAGGCGAGCTGATGTTATATCGTGGTAAGGGACACACAAAGCACGTGGTGGTCCACAATAATGGACAGCCCTAGCAATTGTTTCACCAATATGAACGCCTGATCTACGAAGGAATATGGCAAATAATGTGCGCAAGGTGAAAACGTATAGAATGTACTCAACAAATGCCTGAAATTAGGTTTGATTTACATCTGCAATTTATGTCAAGTCTTAATAGCATCATTAGCTTCAATGAGTGGCATAATATTATCAGTGTTGCTGGACCTAAAACTTTTGCGCAATTGCATGGCTCTTTTGTGTTTGAAAACAAGTATGGAGTCTCATAGGGGGCAGCTGTTCACTAAAATCTTTTCAACATGGAACACGACCTTGCTAGCACCGTATTTTACAATAGTTTTTAAGTGTTAACTAATGTAGATTGAACCTAGCTAGTATTGTTATTCAATAGTAAGGTCGCCATTGAATAAAATGAAGCAGTATTTTTGTCCTTTCTCTTCCATCTTCGACATGTTGCTGCTAGGATGGACGAGTGAGTGGTGGGAGCTGATGTAAAGCATGATGGCTAAAATACTATAAAAATATTTGATCATATTATCAAAGCAAGTCACTTGCAGCAGTTTACAGGTGGTATTTATTACAGTAGTTGTTCCTTATTGCAAAGGACAAAATGTCATTTGTCTTATGCCTAAGCCACAGTAAACATCTGTCACAGTTTTGATAATGATAATATAATATCTTATATATCAGCAAATCTCAAAGTAAAAGTTCAACTGATTGTTCTCAGTATATTTGCTTAAAACCTAGCATGATTATATAACATAATTTATTTTAGTTGTGGAATACAGGATTTAGAATGTTAAAAAAAAAATCTCAGCTTTGTTTCATTATAAAGGAAATGCATTCAACACGTTTGTTTGATGTATATAATTAGTAACAGTGACTGTAAATCTTTGTTAACAAGAAAACTCCATAGGGCACCTTTAACTGACCTACTGCCTGTTACTTCTGCTAACTCTGCTCCTGTTGCTGACGTGTACATGTCACCTGCACTGAGAGTGTACTTCGTGTTTGACTTTCCTTTCCTCTGTTTGTTTTTGTCAGGTGTGGATTCCGTGGCGGTTACATGGAAGTGATTAACATGGACCCCGAGGTGAAGGTCCAGCTCACCAAACTGGTGTCAGTGCGTCTGTGTCCCCCAGTTCCTGGACAGGCTCTCCTGGACCTGGTGGTCAACCCCCCGCAGCCAGACGAGCCCTCCTACACCACATTTATGAAGGTCTGAATAACACACAAAGCGCACCAGCTAGCACACATCCTGGTAATGCTCTGAGTGTACGCAAACACGGAATTATTTAAGTAAATACTCATAAATACCACGCCATGTAATCTATGCACACAAAGGCTGTATTGAGTGTGCTGAAGTCCTCACACGCCACTCAGTCCTTTGTGAATAATCAGCTTTTGATTGTTGAAAAATGCTATTACACGTGTTCACTTGTTTCTGTTACATTTTCACGCATGCATTATGCATACTGTTGTAATGTTGGTAGCTTGTGTCCGTCAGACCCACAGTTAGGCTGAAGCATTGTGTGGTTTAAGGAAGCCATTAGGGTGATGGTCATTTGTGTGTCCGTGGGTACTGTGAGTCTCCAGCTGCAAAGGATGTATTGTTGTATTTGTATTTTTATTTGTATTTGCCGTGCATGACTGCATGCTTCAGCATCCAGGAGACATTAAATCATCAACTGATGATTAGCATTTTCTTTATTTGAGAAGCTCATCTTGGAATGGACATTCAAAATCATCTAAGACGATGCTGTGAATGTTGTGGTAAAATAAAATTAAAGTAAAAAAATTAAGTAAAACATCTAGTGTATGGATAAACACATATGTTCTTTCATGACTAACCTGGGAAAGGATTTGATTACAGCCTGAAGTCACCAGAACGCCCAGACTTATGTGAATATCGGTCAACCAAACAGAATATAAATAAAAATAAATCTCATCCAGTCATCTTGCATTGTATTCGATAGATAGGCACTAGTTCAATTCAATTCAATTGTATTTGTATAGCGCCAAATCATAATATATATTATCTCATGGCACTTTACAGGGTAAAGGTCAAGACCATACTTTATCATAGAGAGAACCCCAACAATTTCCACTAAGAGAAAGCACTTGGCAACAGGGGGGAGGAAAACCTCCCTTTCAACAGGGAGGAACCTCCAACAGAACCGGGCTCAGGGTGGGCAGCCGTCGGCCTCGACCGGTTGGGTTTGAGAGAAGAAAGAGTGGGTGAGGGAGGAGAGGAAGGGAGAAGAGAGAGAGACCATGAACAGCAATATATACTGTTGATTGTTAATTGTAACAGCGAAAATAATAACAGATTTACCCTCAGGTAATGGTGTTATCATATGTACTGTTAATTGTTATAGTGGAAATAATCATAAGTAATCCTGGCTAAAAGTTTAAGGACTGAACTCCATATCTAAACCAGACACAACGAGGTTCCTCCAAATGCAGCTTTCATTGCACAGAATGTGTAGAAGAAAACCAGTGTATGCTTACAAGCACCCGCTATCCCGCAGTTTGGCTCAGATGGTCATCAATCAGGAGTAAATACATCACATTAACCTGGCCAATGAAAACCCATTGCTGGATGTAAATAATGAGAGACAGGCATTAGACTGTAATTCCAACCGGGGCCTAGAAGTTACATGGATGACTTACCATGAACTTGGACACTGGAGACACTCTTGTCTCAGCCTGGTGATAAAGTGAAAAAAAGTTGATGATCATTAACTTTTGGAGGAGGTGCAGCTTCAGCACGGACACTGGTAGACACAGGCTTGAGTTCATGCATTCATTCCTCCCTGACAGTTTTACCATTATCTTCCCCTGCAGGAGCGGACAGCGGTGTTAACAGCTTTGGCAGAGAAGGCCAGGCTGACGGAAGAGATCTTCAACACAGTACCTGGTATCACTTGTAACCCGGTCCAGGGGGCCATGTACACCTTCCCCCGCATCACTCTACCTCAAAAGGCCATTGACAAGGCCAAGGTCTGCTCTACACACACCCTGCGTCATCCTCATTTATTCATCTGTGTAGACAATTACATGTACAAATATGTGCACGTGTGTCTCTATAGGAAGAAGGCCAGGTCCCAGACATGTTCTACTGTATGAAGCTGCTGGAGGAGGAGGGGATCTGTCTGGTGCCAGGTAGTGGCTTTGGGCAGAGAGAGGGAACCTTCCACTTCAGGTTAGTGCTTTGACTCAGGCAGTCTCACTACAAACTGGTCATTTAAACTTGATATTGCCTCTGGTTTGACTACACCTGTGACAGTGTTGCCATTAACCCACGTCCCTCTTCCTGTTCTGTCCTCCTCTGTTCAGGATGACCATCTTGCCACCCGCTGAGAAGCTGAAGTTTGTGCTGCAGAAGATCCGTGATTTCCACCTACGGTTCACACAACAGTTTTCCTAAACAATCCTCCACCCTGAACTACATCTCAAGAACCAACCCGTTCAGTGCCAGTATCTTCAAGTGCCTTAATGTTGTGAATGAGGCTGCAACCTCTGCAATACCCATGTCTCACCTCAAAGCTGTGGTCACACCAGAGCAGATTTTTGTAAAGATATTTTCTGTGTTTTGCAGCAGTGATGAAACCATGAAAGTTTCCTTTAGATAACTAGTGAAAACATGTGCACAGAATGATGCACTGTTCATATGTACATACAGCATGTGAAGACGTAATCATGTTCAGTGCATGATGCACTTTCCCAAAGTATAACCCGGCCAAGTTTGTGATTTTAGATGTTATTATCTATAGAGTTATGAGGTATTTAAGATGTCCTTGTCACAGAAACTGCTACAGGTGCATCTCGCTCCTGCCAAAACTTTTTAACAGCAAAATAAGTTCAAAATGATGAACATGTTAGGTGATTACTGGATGAACATGACTGGCTGTAGAAGATGCACCATAATGAGGATGACTGAGTACTGCCAGGGCAATTCTTGCCTGTCTCAGAATGTAGCCGTTTGTATTACTAATGTTTAAATTGTTCATAAATGTGATTAAAAACACTTGAATTTCTAAAACCCTTGTTTTCTGAGATGTATTCAATGCTGGCTCTTACATTTGAAATGACAGTGATTTACAGTAACAAAGAGTCACATTTGAGTGTTGGCACACAAAGCTGACGTCATTTTGAGTTTTATTTAAAAAGACTTAAATCTTCAACAGTGCTTACATGCTTTTAGAAACAGAAGAAAGCTGAATCTCTTCAAATGAACAGAAACTAAAAAGGATGATTGAACATAATAATCATCATTCAACTCAGTAACACCGTTTAACTCCGCTGCGTTCCCTTCACCTTCCCAGAGGCCCCTCTCAGCGTCCTCCAAGGCGCCGCCTGAGAGTGGTAAGAGTTCTTAGCTACTGGTCAGGAGAGAAAGTTTCAAAGTTCATCTCTCTTCTGTAGTTTTGTGGCGTGTTTTTCTATGAACTTACTGAATCCTTCTATTGTTCTGTCTCCGCCTTCAAATTTGACTGGGCTCTGCTTGCTGTTGCTTGGGGCAAAGTATATCGTGGGGAAGCCTTCCACTTTGTAGCTCTCGTTTGGCACATCGTTGGCTGTGGTGTCCATCTTGGCGATCACCAGGTTCTTCTCCCCTTTGTACTTTTTGCCCAGAGCCAAATAATCAGGCTCCAGTTTCTTACAGTGGCCACACCAGGGAGCATAAAACTCAATCAGGACGTCCTTCTGGGTATCCATGACAATCTCATCAAAAGTTTTTCCGACCACAACTTTAACTGGTCCTTTGTTGTTCTTTGGCACTGGCTGGGACTTGATGATGGGTTTGAGCTTTCCTGTAAAAAAAAGAGAAAGAAGTAGTCTACATTCAAATCCAACAAAGAAACTATTGCAGCTAATCAAATCTGAGAGCTGCGAGGTTTCACGTGCTGCTATCATCCTGTGGAAAATTCATTTTAAATGTTACATAAAAGTCAATTCTCTCAAGAACTGAAATTAATTTCACACTTCAAAAATGAAACTTAAACACTACAAGAAAAAGTGCACAATCCTAACCAAACAAAACATCTTCTTTTACATGATCTCATCCTTCAAAATTCACCCCCACAGTCAAAAAAAAAAAAAAAAAAAAAAAAAAACACCTCAACACTCACCTTTCTTAAAAGCCATAACAAAGTCTTGCAGCACCTCGGCGTCAAACTCCTCGGGCTCCATGGCAAACTTTTTGCCTCCATCTGCCAGAATTCCCACATTAACTTCCTCTCCGCTCTCACTCAGGCCCAGGCTCTTCAGCTCCTCTGCGTAGTCTTCCTCATCAGCAATGGCAAACGTGTATTCTGGGAACTCTTTGGCCACCTCCAGCACCTTGGACCTCCAGAACTGTGTAGCTGAAAATTAATTAGGAATGAAATAAAGAGCTTGATTACTAAAGCATGAAATGTACTCTTAAAGGAAGAACTTCAAAACAAAGCTATTTATGCTAAATTTTAAACAATGAAATCTGCTGAATAGCTACATTAAGAATAAAAGTCAGATCAAATAAACAGCATTTTAACAAACTCACCTTTCCTGTAGTCAAAGCTGAAGTCTACTCCATAATACACAACCACCAGGGGTCGTTTTGTGTAGCGCTTAGCATCATTGCTTGGTTTCCTGTGGCCCACCAGAGGAATCACATGCTTTTTGAAGAACTCCTGTACTTCTGACACTGATGTAGAGTCCTACACAGTAAAAAAAAGTTGTTGAGTTCACTTTTTTTTAAATGTTAAAAACTAGAGGTCCTTTTCAGAGTTGGATAATGCAGCACTTAGAAGTAGAAATGGCTGTTGAGTGAAACCTTTCGCTGACTGTTTATTTTTATACTAACATTAAAACTGAAAGAAAGCCAGTCAGAGTTTCATATCCAATGAAACCAATTCAAATTTAACTAAAAAAAAAAAAAAAAAAAAAAAGGGATTGAAATAGAAAAAAAAAAAACCTGTACCTTGACTGCAAGTGTGTGTGACGCTGGCTCAAACTTGGAGCGAAACTTTTCAGGCTGAACAATGACAACCTGACCGGGTGACGCTTTGAGCAGTTTGCTCACTTCAGAGCTGAAGGAGTGACGGAAGGTGAAGTCTTCCCTCAGTACATTACCTGCCAGACAGATGAGTAACACAGATCTGTTTGATTGGCATTTGACAGAAAAAGAAAAATGACTGAATGTGAACTGTGATGGATTACCCATCACAAGCAACTTTCAAGTTGCTGCAAGTTTCATTTTATAACATTCTGTTCGAATGTCACTGCACAGAGACAGGATAAAATATGTAAGGTAAGTACAGGTCAGTTCATTTAAAATTTGACCATTTTCAAGCATCATTATAAAGAACAGGAATGTTATGTTTTTTTTACTGTCTTTGGGACCATGAATTGCAAAACATACATTAACCATAATAAAAAATAATTGAATAAAAAGGATGGATTATATCCAGCTCATGGTGGAACTACTTACAAGCCTCGATGTAGATCTCATAGGCTGCATCCTGCTCGCCGGAGAACACACCGACTATGACAGCATCATCCCCATCCTTGATAAGCTCCTGCACCTGTTTTGCTGCCTGGACCTGTTTGGAGGGAGGCCCTGCTTGCTCACCCATGTAGTCAACAATGCCTACAGAGAAGGAGACAGAGGTGCATTACTGCTGATGGATGAACAGAAGTGAAATATCCACACAGATCCGCATGCATGCACGGAAAACAGCAAAGACAGGCATGACACAGTCAGTCACCTACCATACTTCTCTCTGGGTCCGCTGTAGTCAAACGCCTTGCCCTTCCTGAAGATCTTGAGGGTGGGATAGCCTGTGACTCCAAAGCGTGTGGCGATCTCATTCTCCACAGTGGCGTCCACCTTGGCCAGAGGAATGGGAGGAGAACGCTGGCTCAACTCCTTTGCTGCCTTCTCGTACTCTGGAGCCAAACGCTTACAGTGTCCACACCTGGAGGTCAGTTATAACAGGTAAACAATGAGGTTTTATTTGCTTGAAGAGCTGCTTTTTAAAAGATCCACCATCACCCCTGTGGATGCATATGTCACTTCTAAGCCAACAACATTCACAATTAAACCATCTGTATTTCATAATTGACAGACTGCTGACTGACCATGGGGCGTAGAACTCCACCAGGATGATGTCTGCATTGTTAACGGTCTCATCAAAGTTATCTTTGGTCAGCACCAGTGTCGCCTCAGGAGGGGGCTTCCAATCTGGCTGAGCCACCTCTTTCACCCGATCCACAATGGCTGCAACAAACAGATATTCACCATATTAGTAATATAATTTTTTTTTTATTCTAAAAGAGGACATGTCTATATTGAAAGGCTGTGAAGACTCTGTAACTGAATCAACTGTCTCTACCCTTCGGTGTCCTTTCTCCATCGTAGTCCACAGCCTCTCCATTTTTGAGGATCTTGATGGTGGGATACCCCGATACTTCGAACCTGCTCGCTAACTCACTGGCTACTGTTGCATCCACTTTGGCCACAGGTATAGGAGGGTCATTCTCCTTGAGAGTCTGAGCAATTTTTTCATACTCTGGAGCAAACTGTTTGCAATGGCCACACCTAAAAGGATAAAAGAAAGAATACAGAGATGTTGGGAAGTTTTAAAGGATGTGAAAGGAAAGAGGCATGTTGCAGAATTTGCATAGGAAGTGACTTGAACATTGAAATATTCTCAGTTTCCACTGCTCCTTTAGTTTTCACTCAAGATTCTCAATACATTTTGATTGTAACCAAGTTTATAATCAATTGTAATCATAGAACTGTGACGTGGTTAAAAAACAAACTTCTTTAGATATAAGAAGAAATAGCAAACATACCATGGAGCATAAAACTCAACTAAAACGGTGTCTTTCCCTTCCATGAAAGTCTCATAATTGTTGTCGGTGAGAATCAGCACCCCGTTCTCTTCTTTCACCTCTGTGTCATCTCCTTCGTCTTCATCCTCATCCTCCTCACCCTCACTGTCCTCTTCATCAGCTTCCTCCTTCTCCCCTGTCACATCTCATAAGAAAAAGACAGGGGTTGATTTAAAGAGGAGTAAAGCTTGGACAATGTGTTACTGCTTGTTGCACAGATTACAACAGGGGCAGGGCAGGCGTGGACATCACATGTAGCAGTTGATAGCAACAGACAACATTATCATAATGTTACACACTGACAAAGTGTAATTGAAACGGGACTGGCTGAATTAATATTTTACATGAGCCTAACGTAATTCTAACACTCAGGAGCCAGGTAATTGCATAATTGTGTTTGTGGCAGTACTGTTGACATTAGCTGACCCATCCTGTTAGCTAGCGTGCTAACAGGACTAGCAGAGTATCTACAGCAACTCAGCTAGCTAGTTTGTATAAAAATAACTTGCAGGAAACACACGACAGCTGCACTGTAGCTTTATTTGAATAACTTATTCAGCTGTAATAATCACACAGAGTTGTACAATGTCTCACACTTACCATCTTCACATCTGCTGACAGTTGCAAAATGTGCAACGCCGAGCAGCACAATCAACAACAGGGCAACCTTCCTCATTGTCCACAGATGATGCGGCCCCGTATTAATGACGCGCTTCCCTGAAGTAGCCTGGCTAATTAACTTAGCTAATAACGCTGATGAATGTCATCAAAATACTGTCGGCTGCACAGACCCGCCGTCCGGATCAATACTGATATGTGGCTGTAGGAATCTCTGCCTCGTAGTTTCATACAAACTAATCACTCCTGAAATCACTCACGCCGCCTCCTCCGTCTGGAAGTTGTCTGACTTGCCACGTTGTGATTGGTTCCCACCATCGGTGGTCCACCAATCACAATTCGCCACTCAATTCCTTACTCTGAGACGTTGGAGGATGCTATTGGATGCTTGTTTCCCTCTATGACTTCTGTGCTTGTAGGACTGGATCAGGACTGGATCCATGATCCATGTTTATGGGCTAGTGGGTTAAATAGACTATTATCTGATATACGAGATTTATTTTTTAATACTTAACATAATAATTTCACTGCAGCTCTGCAGTCCACACATCTTCACCTTATATGAAACACAAACAATGAATATTTAGAGAACAAATCAGTACAGTTAGAGAATGTAACTGCTTACTGTGTGTGTGCGTGTGTGTGTGTGTGAGAGAGAGAGAGAGAGAGAGAGACAATAGCCCAGAACGACTATTCAGATGCTATTCTTGTAATACAAACAATGCTTTGCAAAACAATGATATTCCACTTTAATGTATAAATACACTGAAAATACATTTTTGAGTGCCAGGTTGCAAGTCTACAATTAGGTATATGATTCCTTTAGTTGGTCTGCATCCTCTTCATCCATCCAGCACAAATGAAGACTGCAGAGCGTGTAGTCTAAAAAGCATTTATTTATAACTTACTTATATTCATAACTGCAGGTTTTTCCAATCCTTATTGTTAATGAAAAAACAAAATCACTTTATTAATGATTTTTTTATCCACATCCTAGACACAAAAATAAATCACAAAGGTTTATTTTTGTTTTATAAACTGTCAATAAACTGTCCATTAATAAGTCATGAACTATTTGCCTAGTATCAAAACGTCTTGTAAGATGTATTTCACTGGTTCCAGGAGTAGTTTGGGGGTTCAGGCAATATATTTTGAGAGATAGTGAAATAAGACAATTAGATGCTGGGCACATACAATAGTGTACCATTGTATACATCTTAACAGAAGAGAAGATATTACTATGCAAACTTTTGGGACATCTTGTTTTTGGAATTGCTTGAAGTCTCCCAGCATGAACTGTCATCTCCATAGGGACCCTCCTGTTTATCTGGCTCCACACTTACAGGCTCCTCATGTACCAGAACCTCCACCACCACCTCTGTATGAGTGGCCTGAGTTTTACTTAACCAGCAACTCTCATTTGTTTTAGTCCAATGGTCAGATTGTGTCTCTAGAACATCATCTGTCCAAATCCTGATGAGCGATGCTGACTCTGGGAGGGACAGGCAGTTTTGTCCTCTAAAATAAGTCTGGAGCTCTCTGTCATTTGGATTTTCTTCTGCTCTCTCTCCAGTATGCTGCAGATTATCAGATGCTAAAACAATGTCTGAGGAGGGAGTGTTTCTCTGTTGGCCTCTCTGCTGCAGGAACTGCAGTATCTCTAGTTCAAGCTTGGACCTGGTAATGCAGAAAAACAAGAATTATTATCATTTTGTAATTTATGACATGTCTTTATTGGCTTAAGAATGGTCTGCAGCTTGAGTAGATGCTAGAGAAATTTCGTTACCTGCTCAGCTGAGATGCAGGTAGGGTTTCTCCATGGCCACTGACATCTGTGTGATCATTCACCATTGTCTCTTTTGTCATTTGTGTTCTTACAAAGTCCTGCAACAGAATCACACAGTGCCCGAACAACAGGAGACACATTGTTAAAGGTGTGTGAGAGCACACACACAATACATGAAGAATGTATATGAGTGCATACACTGCATGCATGTGTCTGTGTGTCTTTTCCACATTTGACATGAGGCTGGCTCACCTTTGTGTCCATGTTGGAGGGCTCCTGTATGGGTGAGGAGATGGGACTCTCTTCCTCCAGGTAGTCATGGGCTTTTGGGGGCAGGGTGTGGTGCAGGCAGTTACAGAGGGCACTCAGTCTGAACAGCAGCTCATCTACCAAGCTTTCAAACTCTTCAAGGTAATAAGTCTGAAAAACAAGAGTCAATAGGATTTTTGGGAAATGTGGTCTTTATGGACACTTGCAGTACTGTAGCATTGCTAGTGGCATTAGTTAGTCTACCAATAACCCTAAACACAGATTTGATGTTGTTTGTCTGTTGACAGTAATTGCTCCAAGATAGTTTGACAATGATATATGCAGTAGAAATTCAAAATGCCACACAGCAACATGAACAGTCAGCAAAATGAGACATATTACAGACGTTTCTTAATTGAGAATTGCCAGTAATACAGTAAACTTGATAAACTGCTGTTTCAGGGCCTACACAGCTTTTTTCTCACTCTGCTCTCAACATGGTTATCAATCCATGTTGATCCACGCTGCCCAGTGAACTCAGAAATCCTCTTTCTGATGTAGCTGGCAAATTCTGCTACAGTGAAGACATCCTTCCTTCTCTGAGATCTTCTCACACTTCTGACCAATGAGGACACCACACCTATCACCTTTAAGAAAGACAGATGTCTGTTACAACATAAGAGTTACCTGGACTCTTGACAGATTGTTTCTTGTGTGTACAGATGTTCAAGGACTTTAAGCATGCATAAATAAGTCAGTCTCTTATCTATTCAGTCACAATTTTTACAAAGAAAAAAAAATATATGTACCACTGCTGTCCACACCACAGTAGAAGACAGATAGAAAGCTCCACTGTAAAGGAAATGATGTCCAGAGAGGAGGAGGCCCCTGGCAGGTCTGAGACCCGAGTACTGACAGAGCAGAGACTGAAGGGAGCGTGGGATGGAGCTGAAAGCCCAGGAGCTTTGTACAAACAGGAGATTCCCCGCGCAAGACAGCGCCACCAGCAGGATCAGACCTGAAATCTAAGACACAAGAAGGTGCTGATTTTCAGTCTCTGTCTGTCTGTGTAGTGAGCTTGGCATTTGTTTCTAACCACATCCAAGATTTAGAATCACAAAATGATCAAATCTAGAAAAATAATACCAGCATTACATGTCGGGGTAGGACACTGAGTCTCTCAAAATAAAACTGCTTTAATGAGACAATGCACACAAATTGCACACGATGTCCTATATAATATTACAAATGCTCCATTTGGTTTTCATTAGAAATGTATTGCCGGTGATGATTCCCAGCTGAATAAGATGGGCTACTGTTATCTGTGTTAAGGGATGCATCTCACAGTGTAGCACACCTGAAAGCCGAACATATAAAAACCTGCAAAACAATTTTTATTAACTTTCCCTATAAACAGCATTATTTCTGAGGATGCAATAACTTGGAAACTGAGACTTTCTGTTTGTAGAGTAATATTATAAGAGGCAGTGCTTGGGATAAACATCTTTCGAACTTGTGTTGCTGCCTTTTCGTGTTTACCGTTGGCCAGAAGAGGCTGGAGAGTGAGCGGGTCAAGAGTGTAACAGGGATAGCCAAGGTCCTGTTCACCCTCAACATAGTCATACACTTAGTGATGAGAAGGAAGAGTGTAAGACCACGCAGAGTACGAATATCCTGCAGAGACACATGAACAGTTTCATCACTGACAGGCACTGCTGACCTCTTTAATTCCCACATTGTGATCATTGACACAACAAGACTTCTCAACCTCAAAGTCAGGTGTTCCTTGTGTATCTAATATAGCAAAAAACAACAAACCTTGTACACTTGTGACTTCTTAAACGGTATTATAACTACAACTCCTGCCAATAAACTCATAATTCTAATTATTAAAGATGGGGCTCTTTCATTTTTCAAGGGAAGGTACTGTAATAAATTCAAGCAGGAAAGGCAGTGGAAGGTTTTTCAACATTAAATATTTGTTTTTCTGTATCTCTGTTCCTCCTTTCCCTGCCTTCATTTGTCGCTTTCTCTCACTTGTTCCCAGGTAGCCAAGAAGCTGACATCAACATGTCCTCTGTGTCTCTGCAGCACCTCCACAACGTCCATGATAATTATGGAGTGATAGATGTAATACACATAGTACACTAGGATCACTTTCAGCAGAGTGACCTGCAAAACAAAGAGAAAGTGAGGTATATTTATTTCTACAGCAGTAAATTATAATCAGACACACTTCACACTCTGTATTAAAACCCTGCTGTGTGCTTTGACCTTCAAATACTTTTTTCTGTGTGGTTTATTTCACAGGTATGTTTGTTTAAGAGCTACAGGTTACTTTACCCTTACTACTAGGTCATTGTGATCTTGTTTGCACTGGTGTATGGCTGAGTGTGTGCACACGCCTGTGGACGTGTTCCTGTGTAAGCCTTAATCTTTTTTTTATTATGTTGGAATGGTTTCTTTTGCTCATATGTGTTTATGTATAATTGGTAGACTCACTTCCAGCCAGTTGCAGGGTGTCCTCCAGTATCCCATCAACCCTTGCTGCCTCATGGTGCATACCTGATGGCAAAGTTGCAGCAGAGACAAGAGGAGAAAGAGGAGCTGGAAGAGAGGAAAAGAAAACATGAGGAACCTTCAGGCTTTTGACAGAAACATAAAATCTGACAAGTGCTGGTGCAGAGTTAGAATATTATGCAATATTGTGTTTGTTTTAAAATCAGTTGAATCATCAGTTTTTTTGTTGTGTAAATTTGTGCGTGTAGATTTTGCTTTGCTCAGCTGCTTGAGTGGCTTTATGATGGAGTTCAAGACGAGTTGTTTTTACAGATAAAAAGTGAATGAGTCTTTTACCTGGCACACCATAACAACATAGTCCCACACAGCAGGAGTGTGATACACCCTGACTGATTGGACTTTGAAAGAGGGCAACAGGACATTGATGGGGCTCTGCTCAGTGAGCAGGGTCACACTGGTGAACAAGTTGGGTGCAGGGCTGAACAAGGTGAACTGGACCTTCAGGGCCACTGTCTGTCTGCCCAACCAGCCACATGAATGCAGGAGATTCAGTTTGGATGCAGCATCAGACCTGATGATGATAGTAGATATCACTGATATGAACAATGCCTGATCCTACAAGAAATGACCTCTTTAGAAAAACTCGAGTTCCTGTGTAACTCTCACTTTGTGCGGCCTAAGCCAACTGTAGCATTTGGCCATGAGGAGCAGCCCAGGTGACCACATGTAGTTAGGGGTGTTGCTGTGGGAGTCGTGACAATGGAAAGTGGGTAAGAAGATGTTCCCCTCCCTGACAAGAATGAGCGAAGACCCTCTGGCACAAGAGTCACACTGTAGACCTGAGAAGTCACAGACAGAATACACACAGATAGAAAAAAAACTAAACATCAAACTAAATCAGACTGCAGTAATCGACACTCTGTAACTTCAATAAACATACAGAAAAGGTAAAGTTGTTCTAAGTTTAAGGATATTCATCAATTTATATGATAAATTCAAAGCATTAACAGAAACTTTAATTCACCACTATTCCATGAAATTACATTTATAATTATAGCAGAAAAATACATTTTTTTTTTGTTATAATTAATGTTCAGTACTTGGATTTTAAAGGAAATCTGCCGTCTGAATAGTCTACATGGAAAATTCATGGAATCCACCACTGCACTGTCCATTTGTGGCCTGGGCCCATATTTGTGAAACAGCGCTCTCTACAGGGGGTCTAGTGTAAAACACGATGGCATGATGACATTAGGTGAGGAATGTAATTTTGCTTGAAATTAATGTTGGTAAAACAATACACTGGACCATTCAAGAAAGGGATTTTTGTTTTTTCTTAGATTGTTGTTATTTTAAAACACAGAATTTTACACGCTTTATTTATTATGTAAAACTGGTCAGTCACTTTCACTGTTTGCAAAATGAGAATCTTTTCTTCCTGAAACACATTTTTTTCATAACAGAAGGGGCCATTATGACATTGAGGTTTTCACTGATTACTAAGTGAAAACCATGAGTAAGTATAAATGTAAATGTCTCCTTTTGTTACTTACCTTGTCCCAGAATGAGCTGGATGCCTCCTCCTTCCACAGGATTGCCTCTCCAATCAAGATATGTGACCGCTGCTGGATGATATCAAACGATGAGGTTGTGAAAATGTGTTTGGTTTTACTTTATATTGACAAAATATGGAGTAAGATCTTTCCTCAACATTTTTTTAATGGATCAAAGGGACTAGCATACATGATCAAGGTAAATTCTTTTCACAATTTCAGAACATTGCAATCCAGGACAGAATGAGCCTACAACTGTTTCACCAGCCTGCTTTAGTTACATGAAACTTAGTGAGTTTTTGGTCATTGCTTACCTCAGTTGTGGCTGATGCATTCTTGTACAGCAAATTTAGCAGACTTGTCTGTGTCCACTTCCACCAGTCCTCATGGTTTTGTATTGACATGAAATCAATGTCATCATTCCTGCTGAAAGATAAAATACAATTTCGGAGTTCGTCAAGTGTTTTTACTAAGAGAGAGAAGGAGAGAGAGCGTGTGTGTGCAAGTGTTACCTTATAAACTGTTTTCTGACAGCTTTATTGAGGTGGTAATGATCACTGACTGAGCTGCCATATGTTACACACAGCATGAGAAAAGCCATGGAGACACAGACAGACAAATCCCTGGATGACAAAGAAAAAGAGATAATTCCTTATGCTGCTTTAAATCATATACAATCAGCTGCCCACACAGACAAAGACACACAGACCCACCTGAGAGTGTTATGGATAAGAATCTCTCTTCTTTTCCTCCCACGGGTTTTCCTCAGCTCAGCTGGAGTCAGTGGGCGCACGAGACGTAGGTAGCGAGCTCGCTGACGAGCTGCAAGCAGCTGTCAATCACAAATAATTGACTTGATGTTTCAATGGAAAAGAATAGAATAGATTAAAAAGAAATAGATTCTGGCTATCACCTTTTCAAGGTATGAGCATCTTTCCTGAGGGAAAGCAGATATTCTGAACTGCTCTTCTGGCTGATGAGCAGCCTCTAACTCTTTTATTCTGGAGAAAGTATGAAAGTCTGGTCTTTTTCTGTACCAAAAGGAGACAGTAACTGCCACAGTAAGTATCTGTAAAAGAAAAAGAACAATATTTCCAATATAAAGACCATTAAGTATTGAACTACTTTTATTTTGTTAATAATCTTAAATAACAGTTATGGATTATACTTTTATTAATTCCAAATGCATTTGGTTGTAAACAGGTGGGTATCAATTTACCACAGCTGGCTGGATGAAGAAGATGCAAGACATCAGGGAGAAGAAAAGCGAGTGTATCCAAATCAGAACTTTGCTGCTGCTGAATCTAAAACATCATACAGAGACACAGTTACAAAAGTCACACAAAAGTCAGTATCATAGTGGCAGTGGCTTCCAGTCCCTCATATACTTGAAAAATCATCCATTTAATGGCATCACACAATTACTACCTCATTCCCAACACTGCAGAAAGCACCAGGCAGGAGAGGGACAATAGCAGACAGAAGGCCCAGGCCAGATAGTGACACCACTGGGATGTTGGTCCAACTTTTCTCCCTTTCATTGTGTCGATTATGTGGTAACCACTGCTGTGACCACACCATGCTGCCTGGTGATGGCTGCCTTCCTCAAAGCCACAGTCCGATGAACATATTCCTTGAGGATCTTTCTCCTTCTGAATGGCTCGATTTTCTTCCCTCATGTTGGACAAAAGATCTTTCTGGGTTCCATGAAATTTGTTGCTTTCACTTAAAAGATCAAATGCTTTTCCCTGATTTGCTCGATCGGCATTATTCTCCTCTGAAATCAGCACCAAATTCTGAAGTACTGGTCCCATACTGCGCTCTACTGCTGGATCATCCTCCTTTCTTATGATCACATCTGGCTGGATTACAGGTTCTTTATCTGTGTCTTTATTTTCCAGAATCGTAGGAGACACTGAGAGCACGTCTGTGCCCTACAACACAAAAAGAAAGATTAGACAGGGATGAAAAATGCTTTGACAACAAAGACACAGAGAAAGGGAAAAAAAAGAAAACAGAAAAAGATTGATGCTCTAATTGTAACCTGGTATTTCTTCCTCCAGGCTCCCTGCATCCACTGCTTAAGACTGCTCCAAGAGAGATGGAGTGTGCTGTCATTTACTGAAAGAGCATCTGTGAGGAGGCAGGACAACAATAAAATAAGAGAGAAAGAGGAAGGAAGGTGTGGAGACAAGAAAAAAAAAATGCTAAAACAGCTCAGAAAAATTTGCATAAAGGGGTGAAACAGAACCACGAGGCTAAATGGTAATTTACAGTAACCAAGCACTGTCTTAGGAACACCTGTACATCTGCTTGTTCATGCAATTATTCAATCAGCCGATCATGTGGCAGCAATTCGATGCATAAAATCATGAAGATACAGGTCAGGTTCAGTTAATGTTCACATCAAACATCAGAATGGGGACTTTGGCGACTTTGACTATGGCATGGTTGTTGGTACCAGACAGACTGGCTTGAGTATTTCTGAAACTGCTGATCTCCTGGGATTTTTCTTTGGCGCTATACAAATAAAATTGGATTGGATCTCAATTTTTGTTGAGGCACACAGATGGTAGGGGTCAGAATTTGGTGTCAGCAGCATGAATCCATGGACCCAGCCTGCCGTATGTCGAGGCTGCTAGTGGTCGTGGTGTAATGGTATGGGGGATGTTTTCTTGGCAAACCTTGGCCCCTTACCACCAACGGATCATCGTTTTAATGCCACAGCCTATCTGAGTATTGTTGCTGAGCATATGCGTCCCTTTATGGCCACAGTTTACCCATCTTCAAAAGGCTACGTCCAGTATAATAACGCACCATATCACAAAGCAAAAGTATTTTCAAACTGGTTTCAGGAAGATGAAAATGAGATCAGTGTACTTCAGTGGCCTTTCCACCCGATCTTGACCTCTGAGATATGGTAGAATGGAGGATTCAGAGCTTTAGTGTTCAGCTAACAAATCTGAATCTGAAATTATGTGATACTGTCGCGTCAACATGGACTACAATCTGGAAGGAATGTTTCTAACATGCCATGAAGAACTTGAGAGCAAAGATAGGCACTACCCAGTATTAGCAAGATGCATGAAAAAATTCTATGCTGAAGGTAAACTCATTCTATGCGAGTCCAAACTTCACCTTCAAAACAGTGCCTTTCAGTCTTTTTACCCTTTGCATGTTGGACTCCTGACCTCCTCAGCTTGACCCCATGCAGTCGAAACAGGAAGGATATCATTGTTGCTCCGGGCAACACTGCCACCACACTTAATGCTCCAGTTGTCACGGAGACAGCGGATACATCAAGAATACCCAACTCGAATGGCAACTGTAAACAAGGGATTAAAAACTACAGCTGTAGGGGTAACATGTTTTAAAACTTTCATGCACCAAATTTTGAATTTTGAATATCTTCTTAACCCACCTCAGCATCTATTTGTGATATGATTACTGTGTTGATGCATGCGTATCCCAACAGCAGCAGCAGGCACACACTAAGTCTTTGAGTGTGTGTGAACAAGTTAGGGCAGGGGCAGCTGTATACAGACATCCAGATGTGGAAGTCGGCCAAGTAGTTGGATAGCTTAAAACACAACATCTGCGAGCATACAGATGGAGACTCTGGGTCACATGGGAGCAGAGAATAGCGTTTTTTTTTTTTGTGTGTGTATTCAGATGTTTATGTGAGTGCTCTACCTTAGTAAAGCCTAATCCGTGGGTGCAAACACGCAGCATTCTTTCCACCTGGCCATCACCTTTGTTCACAGCCAGCCAGCACTGACCGACAAAGAGCCAAGCACGTCCTTTCACATGCCCTCTGTTCATCTGATTTAAAAGTAGACAAATAAACCATCTTGATAGTCCAAGCACAGAGCACATTTACAAACACAAAACACATGGTCCTCACCTCAGATACCTCCACTTGTCTGAGGTACCAGGTTGGGGATGGTCCAGAGCTGTCGTGCCAGATGTGAACCCCCCACACACGACCCAAGCTGTCTGCTGTGCTGTGATGTCAGAGGCAATGATTACACTGAGGCAGTAGTAGTTTAGAAATAAGCAAATCAAAATTAATTATTTTTTAAAGCTACTATAAATATTATGAGGTATTAAGTAGTAACATGTATATCATGCTGTATGTGTAAAACTAAAAATAACACCTTATTTTTCAGTATTTAAGTAATATTTGGAGATTTTGGTGGATTACCTGACTATAAATGTGACTTGAGAGTTCCTCCTGAACAGAGTGCACCCTGGGACTTGTAGTTCTCTTGTGTGTGAGAACCCATCTTCACCATACAGCACAATATAAACCTGATAAACATGCAGAGACAGATTCCCAGACACACATAAGTACTGGATTTAAAAGGCTTTTATAGCATTGTTTAATCTAAGGCTGGTAAACCTACCCACCCACACACACACACACACACACACACACACACACACACACACACACACACACACACACACACACACACACACACACAGGTTATGCACTGTAGACACTGACTTATGACTATTAAAGTACACAAAAATACATTATTGTGACATTTTATCACAGAGATCTCCTATTGTTTCCATAGTAACTATTTATACTGACATCAGAGGCAGCATATCTACACACATACAGCCATTAAACTCTGTCCTGTCACTGTCCAAGTCCAACCAAGCGCACGGATAATTTTTTATGAAATAAATTATTCTCTATATGTATCTTTCCACAATAATAAACACTGTCCAAAGGTGGCATTCTCATACTCATACAGGATGAGTTAGACCATTCAATACAGACATAACAGTTCCATAAAGTCTTCACCAACTTTGGCCAAGCCTACATCCCACTGCTTACTTTTTTCCCCAACACACACTTTTTAGACAAGGAGCTTTTCCTGATTTTTCATGGCATTTATGTGCAGTCAGATCCAACATGAGTAGGACCTGGTGAGGATGAATGACTGGTTTAAAGGAACAAATGACAGCCTTACCTTTGCACTCATATTGGCTGCAGAGCAGAGACCAGTGTGGATGGTTATGGCATAAAGATATGAGTCAAATGGAGAGTTGTCAGAAAGATAGTGGACTCTTTGATTCTTCTTGAACATGTCATCAGCTCTCTTGCACACCGCCAACCCGGGGATGTACAGGCACACACACAGCACCAGTACACCCAGCACAGTCAGATTGCAAGAAGCACTGAAGTGATCGAATGGCAGAGAGGAAGCACAGGTGTTATACTATTTTATATATATATATATATATATATATACTATTTTTGATTCTCATTAAAAAGAGCCTCAAAAGACAAAAATGAGCAGAATGACAGAGGATTCAGTTGGTTAATGGCTGCAGAAAATGGCAAACTGAAAGGAGGAATGAGGTCACCTTAGGAACGGGTCCAGATCGGCTGTGTCACGGCTGCTCTGGATCTGGTGCTGCACCACAGTCATCGGCCTCAACTGATGACAACTGAGACAAAGGGCAAATATCAGCGAGCAAATTTTTTCATTTATGTCATTCATCACCATGTCAACTTCTTTCTTCCATGTCAGTGTCTGTGTTTGTTTATCTCTGAAGGTCTCAAGTCACTTAATCCATGCCTTACCTGCAGTTGACAGCACTGGCTGTGTCTGCTTGCTGTGTCCTGCAGCCCTGATGTGTCCAGGCCCCCTGGTGGCCATCCCAGGACAAACACAGGCTACTGACAACTGTGAGACTGTAGCTGATCTGTTCACTCAGATACTTGTGTCTGGGTGCTTTCCCAAAATCAGCATTCAGCAGTGCCAGGTGACCAACCCCTGCAGCTAGAAATTTTAGGGCTTTGGTGAGTGAGTTTCTTTTCAGTTACCCAAAGACACATGTGAAATGTCCAAGCAAGCAAATCATTTACTTATTACCCTGAATGCATTACCTTGGTAACTTAGAAAGTTTCATAAGGTAAATAATACACATCAGCTCTCTAACATGATCACAACTTATTTTTAATCTCATCCTCAGAAAATAGTTTTTTAAAATTTTGATTATTAACATTGATTAGTCAATGCTCGTCGTGATTACTGACTGATAATAAAGTTTTATGGTAATTTTACTGTGTCATTGTTTATGTTTTGTTCTGTTTCAAATGTATTTTCTTGCTGATTTTTGTCTATTTGTATAAAAGCCCATCTAGAGAAAGGAATTGCAAACTAGCTCAGACTATAAATGCTGTGGTAAGTGCCACTCATCAACGTTGTAAACATTAAATAAATTTTCAAGTAATGTAATGACGGGTATTATTCAGATTTGTGACTGACATGTCTCGATTTTAGGCACACATGATACTGTTTAGCTTTCCACTTCTGTTTAACACAATGCTGAAGTCTTTTTTCATCATCTATATCCAAACTTCATTCAGAAAACAAAAAACATTTTTGTGGATGATGAATTTGATATATTCTCTCTAGAATGACTGGTGTTCTAAAAGATGGAGTAGTAGAGCAGAAGGGAAAAGAAATACAACAAAACATTTTATTGGTTGTCAAATTTAGACTCTTGTGATGATATGCATTGACTGAATTTTTATATGTATATATAGTATATAACTGACTTTTTGCCAGTTTTACACTTTACTAAAGCCTTGTTAAATGACTTCAGTTACACATTTTGTATAAAAAAATGTGTTAAGAAAAGGCATGGTTGTGTTTTAATGGATGTTTAATTTGATGTATTCTTTATATCAATATAATAATAATAATCATCATCATCATCATCATCATCATCATCATAATCATATAATTTAACAAATGGAAACACTTGGAGGATGAAGGAGTTACAGAAATAAAAAACGATAGATGGAATCAAAGGGGTTTTTACCATTGAGGTAGGATGGGGGCAGAGTAATGCGTATGGTGTTGGTCTCCCAGTGGTGAATTCTGTGCAGATGGTTTATGCTGGGCGTCGGCCTCTCAAACATCCTGTCACAACAGAGACTCTTGGTTTGGTTTTGTGTCACATTCTTGCTCCTACTATCAGATAGTAATATCCGTAAAACATCAACCCAAGTTACTACAAGTCTACCTGAAGAGCAGCATGATGGGAAACACCTTGTTTGGCGGTGGCGTGAACACCATGCTCAGCTGGATGGCCTGCTCCAAGTGGTCCTGGGTAATGTTGAAGCTGTGGTAGTTGACCTGGGTGCGGAGGAGGATGTACTCATGCACCGAGCTCTTCTACAGCAAAGATGTGATCACACATTGTTGGAGTTAATCATTTAAGACAAGTCACTGTTATAGTTCAACAATCACATCATACAAACACAACAGATGAAAGATCAGCTCCCCATAGTATCACTGGTTCTCTCATATCTAGCATTTTCTGATGTTACTGTTCACCAACTTTCATTATGTGCACTAGAGATGTTGCACAAGGGCAGTTAAAGTTACCCTGTGGAGTTTTTGACCTCTATGGAGCAGTTTTTTAAGGAGTGAGTCCTTGTTTTTTTATTTTGTGTACATGTACACAAGGACGCAGTGTGTGGTTTCGCACTATTCCACTGATCTACAGCAGGTGGTAACGTGCAAAGACAGGGAGTAATGTACCAACAAAGGCAAGGAAGAAGACTGCAAGCCAGTAAACATGGATGTAAACAATGCCTTTTCAATTTAGTAAAAATCAGCGTTGCAAATATTTTCTGAGGAGGGAAATGCATTCTAACATGTTTGTTAGATCTCACGGACACACACAATGCAATTTGTTAAGTAACTCTAAATGTGAACATACCCTTCCCTTCTTTTGCAAACAACAGAAAGAAGAAGTAGCAACATACGTTTCCTGGTGGCTGTTGCAGCTCAACGTTGATTGGCAGAATGAGGGAACGAACAGGGATCTTTCTCCTCACGCTGCAGTTGTACAGACTCAGGTCAACCACTGGTCCACTGAGCTGGAGATTGCCAGAGGAAATAAGAGTGATGCTTTTCCTTTTAATCATTGAATGTCCACATATTAGCTACCCTCACCTGTGTAGGATGTTGGGCACAGGTGTAAGGGCTGCGAGCGAGTTCAGTCGCCACGCTGAGCACACAAGGCTGCCTGCTCTCAGTGCCTCCACTGTGACGAACAAACAGAAGCTGGATCAGAGAAGCAGATATGTAGAAGGTGGTCGAGCCACTGCTGATGACTGTGGAGGTTTGGTTTTGGTATGTGGCGTATAAGGTGATAGGATCTGTTCTGACTCTGTGCTCCTGGACCTTGTGGAACAAAATGTACTTCTGAAAAACAGAGAATGGATATGAATAGAGCGATAAACAGAGATACAAAAAAGCCTGTATGGCGAGACATGTTTACACACACAAAAACATGTTTGTTTTCTCTCACCAGCATCAGGTCTGACGCAGTCTGCAGGGTATCAACAACAAGCTGTGCCATCTGGTTTGTTGCAGGTGATCCACCCAATTTGATGTGATCACTGGTGGCTGAAGCTGGTATGCAGCCAGGAAAAGCAATGCTATTTCTTATGTTTTCACCTGTGGGTGAGTCCAGTTCCAAAACTTGTGTAATATTGTCCATGTTGGGCATTTGAGGTGTAAAGTTATGATTTTTACCAGCAGCCTGCAGGATGTATGAGAGCAGGACAACCAGGGTGTTGAGGGTCCTGTGGTCCAGATGATACTGAACTGGAGCTCTGGACTCCAAAAACAGGTCTGAGATGGCCTGGACGTGAACTGCCACTTGTCTGGCACTTGCTAATGTTACCTAAAAAAGGATAAGAAATAAGGATGCAATGAATAAAAAGGACAAAGTGAGTAGTGTCTCTTTGTCCATGAAAGGAGATACCCTTCCACCAACCTGATTTGTAACTTGTAAAAGGTCTTTGAGAGCGCAGATGCCGTCTACCATTGATGCCTATGGATTAAACGACATATTATTAAAATGTTCCAGAGGTGGAAAAGATGGTTGAAATCTCACTGTGTTCTGTTAATCTTCGTGTGCAGTGTAGGTCTATATGTGTGTACCTGTTCACTGCTCTCGAGCTCACACACTGTGCTAATGAGAACATTGCGTAAATGTATCTGTGCATGTGTGTTGGCCTTGGTGTCCAGGCTGAGTCTGTTCAAAATGCTGGAGAGAAGACTGATGTAGTTACGAATCTCCCTACTGTTCCCAAGCCGCACCAGAGCCGACAGGTTCCTCAGACCTGACCCTGAACTGGAGAGAAAGAGTTACTAACACCACAACAATACACTGCACCCATAATATGATAGTTTTCGCGGTGTAGCAGATCTGCAGCGTTGTGCTTAGAAGCATAAACTGCTCTTTTAATGTTTTTTTTTAACAATTTAATAATCTGCCATTTTCAATATTTGGGCTGTCAGATTATATAAAATCCTTGTATGTCCTCCAGCATAACATCCTTTGTCTTTTCTCTAATAGACAGATTGACCAATTAAACCCACAGGAGAAAAGCTTTAGAGTATCTAGAGCATTTACTCAATTTACTAACATTTGATTAAAGTTTCCATCTCCAGGTATGATGGCAACCAAACAGTCGAATTTAAGGCTTATTCCACATTTAAAATTCATCAGCCATCAACTTAAAAACCATTTATAAAGAATGAACTATTTAAAAGTAAGACTGGCTTATGTAAATACAATAAACTGGCAAGAGTTTAAATAGTGTCAGAGTCAGTATGATCTGTATTTCTTAAATCAAAACCTAGAGAATCTAAATCTCTTTGAGTAACCTCCAGCTTCCTGACACATTATGTTATTGCAATTATCCAGTATGGTTTACAAATACAAGTCACCTCGAACTGTCGTGGAGCACACAGCGGTGCATCTCATAATCATCTAATAAAACCTCAAAAAATTAACATAACCATAATGTCCATGTGATGTGATGGCATGTTTATGGGTGATTGGTTTATCTTACAGCTCCAGATCAGGATCATCATGGGAAGAAGTGTCTCTGAGGAAGCTTGGTTGGACTTGGACGGTGACAGGACAGGGTTTAGTGGCTGTCCCATATGTGCTGCTCCTGATTTCAGTATAAATAGTTACTACGGAAACAAGAAGAAGAAATAATTTCAATTAATTAATCAATAGGAAATCTCTGTGATAATGTACAATAATGTATTTTGTGTACTTCAATAGTCATAAGTCAGTGTCTATAGTGTGTGTAACCTGTGTGTGTGTGTGTGTGTGTGTGTGTGTGTTTACCTTTATAGTCATCACTTGGGTCACCTGAAGGCAGGCTGAAGTAGTACTGGAAATCTCTCCCCTGGTACAGCACCTTTGGGGGTCTGCTTCCTACACTGAAGCTGTGCTCATACAGTAAATCCTTTAGCACGAATCAGTGAATGGGATGGTTGATTAGTAATTATCAGGTAGTAAAGAAAAGAAAGCCCAGAAAATGGGGTATTGATTAAAATCAGAGAGGTAGCCACTAATTATCGATTTAAATGAAATATCAAATTTTTCTATCATAAGCAAACAGCAGTACTGAATGAAAACGTGTCTGCATTGTTTCAATAGCAAAACCACCTGGTCAGATTTTATTTTTCTGGAACCTTGGAACCTTTAAAGCGCCTTTAAATAATGTAACAATTGTGAGTATTCTCACAGACTAAAACACAATTAAAGAAACACCTTCAACTCCCTCCCATTAAAGTACAGACAAATTTGCCTTTCTTTTAAGTGGGAGGTTTTTGAGTGCTTGCTCATTTACGTTTTTGTGTATGCATGTGTGTGGGTGTGTCTGGGACAGGAGATACCTCTTTCCCTGAGGCGCAGAAGATGCTGAAATGTGTGTGCAACTCCATCCCTTTGTCCGGCTGCACCTGGCACGTCATGCCCTTTGGAGCAGGTTTGGTTTTTAAGAATAGCTGAGTCCGGCCGAGAAAACTATGATGAGATTCTAAGTACAACAGATAACAATCAGATTACGATCAAGATCTCCATCCTTTCAATTTTCATTTAAAACATAAATGATGGGCGAACATAGGACTGATTTTGTCATTATTATTTACTGTAGACACCACCATGATGATTCCCCATCCAGAAAACTATCCATCCAAAAATCTGTTTTGCATCTCTATTACAGGACAATCAAAAGAACTGAAATATTCAATTGTGACTGCATTCACATTCATTTAACATTAGCATTTAGCTTCAATGATGACTCCTCACATGTTAGCTGACTTTGTGTTGAGAAAAATTTTTCTGGCCCATCTCTAAGAAATGAATGAAAGACAATCGTAACCAACAACAAGGAAGACTTTTTGTTCTTGGTACAAAACCCTTCCTAACAGATTTAGGACTTACATTGGGCTGTATAGAATATGTATTTCAATTTCAAGTTCAAGTTCATGTTTATTTGTCATTCCATCTGTTCATTCTATCATGGTTCAGTGCTGATAACACATTAGATTTTGGCAAGAAAGTCTATTACTATTGTTGTTATTATTGTTGAGAAACTTACTGGCAGTGACCTCCAACATGTATCTGCTCCCTGGCCTCAGACTGAAAGGTCTGAAACTGAGAAAAGGGGAGGAAATTCCTATAAAGATGGAAAGAGAGAGAAAAATGACAAAAGACTGAGATATAGAATGGTGGAGTGGAGGTGTGTGTAGGTGGCTTTTCTCAGTACTGTACCAGTGTAGGTGTAGGACTCAAAAAGGCCTTTGTCTACTGGGTCTCGGGGCAAATCGAGCAAAGTTGGCTCCTGGATCACCATAGCGGATCCTGGAACAACCAGATTACTCCCCTCATCGTATACTGCTGGATCAGACACTGAGTCATATCCTGGACTAAAGGTCTCACCATCCAAATCTGGGAATACACAAGTAAATTGAAAAGCATTAACACTAGTAAAAAAGATAAGATAGGATAGGATAAGATAAGATAAGATAAGATAAGATAAGATAAGATGAGATAAGATAAGATAGTCCTTTATTATTCTCACAGTGGGGAAATTTACTGTTACAACAGCAAAGTGGACAGTACAAAAGAAATGCAAAATAAAAATATCAAATACATAAAATTTACAAAAGATAGATAATAGATAAATAATATAGTATAGCAATATAGTATGTACAGATAGATTTTTAAAATATGTTAAAATATGTCAAAAAATAGCAGCAGAGGAATACTACACAGTTGGTGTGTGTTAATTATTGTTTGCCAGTTTTTGGTGTGTGTGGTCTACTGAGTGCAGTATTTGTTATATAGTCTGACAGTAGCAATAATAATAATTACAATATTAATAATTAGTTGAGTAATTAGTTAATTAATAATTAGTTATTAGTAATCATTACAATAGCAAACATTTATGTACTATACCTGTCGGTCTTCCTGCTGAAATCCCTGGGTCTCCCTCCTCTGCACTTAGGAAGGGAACATCATAATCTGAATCTGTAACAACATGCACAATAGAATTACACAATGAAAATCTGTGCTGATTGAGCATATGTAAATATAAGATGTTACCAACTGTGTTAGACTCAGATAAAGAAATTAAAAATAATCTACTTATATAGAACATTTCTTTTAGGTTTTGTGCTATACTACAAAAAATATCAGACACCAACACCAATTAAATGACACAATATATGAGGAAAATAAAAAAAATATAATAAGCATATAAAAATAAAAAATCCCACTCAAAAAAAAGATTAAAAAAAATACAAAGAGCACAGTTAAAAAAAATTGATTAGGTTTATTATTTGTACATGGTAAGTTAGCAAGTTGTTCTGTGTTTTAGATTTAGGTTGCAAAACAAACTTTTTCACACACTGACGCTTATAAAAATTATTTTTGTTAAAACTGCTATAATCAATAGTTTTATACAATGGATAAAATGACTGTGAAATGTCAAAGTGCTTTGTAGTGATGGCATTCTTTAGCTCATTTTAGTTTTAAAGCTTATAATTTTACAGTTTTATCTTTATCTCTTGTCTCACCACTCATTAGCATAATTTCTAGACAAAGTTGGTAGCTGTTTTCAGCTATACAGCTCTGACAAACCTACTTTATGCTAACGGAACCTAACAGGAAAATTAGCAACTAGCTGGCTAACACAATGGAAAATTTAGCAGCTAAAGAACCAGATAATTCTATCAGGAGTTGGCGGAGACCAAAAGCAAAGCCAAAAGAGTGAATAGCCAGTTCTATGAGACTCTAAAGAAAGCCATGTTATTTGACTCATACCTGCTGGATGTGTAACTGTTGGCTAACATGTTCAATAATATCAACCTTTTGAGTTAATGCTGTTAATGTTAATGTGTTTACAGCTTGTTTCTGCTGCCCCCAAGTGGCGAAAACATTACCTGACGCAGGCATACGGACCTTCACCACACACCATGGATGTGTATTATAAGACCAATCATTCAATCATTCATTCATTCATTCATTCATGAACGTGCAGCGTATATCCGTTAGCTCGTTCTCATAGCCCAGAGTCAAGATGGGAGTGACACCTGAGAAGGGCTCTAAGCATTGGCTCTGAGTGACGCTACTGCGCATATTCAGCGGGCCGAATAACGCGGAAGTAACCCGGAAGCTAGAAACTTTTTTGTCATATGTTGCCAGGTGAGCAATTTCTATAGAAGTGAATGGGCGCCAATTTTAGATCCGGCATCCTGTATACGTCCATGCTACACACCCAGCACAAGTACACAGGTGTTTTCTATTGTGCTAGATTAGACCTCCTAGTTTTTGTACTAAGTTTGTTAACCTCATTCCCAGCATAGCTCCAATAATAATTGAAAAACACCTGTGGTGGTCAGCAGTTTTATCATTCAAAGACTAAAGTTATTTCTCCAGCTCAGTTTTTTTTCTCACCTGGTTGTCCTCCCTTGTCACCATTCTCCAGGACAGCAAAAGAAAATTCCCACTCAGCAGAGGAGTCCGAGTGACCTGGGAATTCACTGATAACGTCGCTTTGGCCAAAGTGCTCTGAATAAAGGACTCCACTGTTGTCAACGGTGAGTGGTGGGTATTCAGTGGAGGTTTGATGCTTTGGCAGGTCAAACTTTCCCAGGGAATGATAAAAGGGCTCATCTCCTGGACATGAAGAGGACGGGTTAAATAATTCATAGACTATCCATTACTGTAACTATGACTTTACACACTATTACTTCTTGTTAATATCCTTATTGATATCCAGCATTATGCTGACTGGAACTGAGACAGTTGAAGGTTCCGACACAAGTTTAGTGACAGTGGTATTTTCTACTTGAATACTCAAATTAGACACTGGGGTAGTAACTACAGTACATTTAATAACGCACCATCTTTGTTTGACATGTGTCTGCTCTTCTTTAATGATATCCCACTGTCAGTGAGTCCCAGATTTTGCTTTGTGACTCTAGTTTCAGAGGCGGTCTCAGTCAGAAGAACAGGGGCTGAGGCAGGGACAGTACTGGTGTAGTGTGAAGTATCTGTGTCAGATGGATGCAGGGTGAAAGTCTCAAGAGTCTGAGGGAAACTTTCAGGACTCTTGATGATTGTGGAAGGAGAATTGAGATCCACTGTGGAACAAAATGGGACTGAAATAGAACAGAATAGAATTAAGTATTTCTTTGTAAATGAAACACTGGTAATTTACTATTACTAATGGAATCACAATCAGTTCATTAAAACTGAACGCAGTCCTCAACTGGGAGAAGTTGTCCTTATTTTACCTTCTATCACAGGCCTGGAGGAGGCATTGACCCAGTACAGACTCCAGGTGTAGTGGATGTGTTTTGGGGAAACATTACAGTCTTCACACAAGGTACTGACAGAGAACGACTTATCCCAGTTCACCTGGTCTCCATGGCAATGAGGGCAATAAACTGACACCTTCCTGGATTGAAAAAATTACATGAATGTTAAAATGAGATGGTGCAACAAGGTTCATTCTTCTTTAATATTGATTTCAATCACTTCAGTATAGCTATAAGCAATTTAATCCTTAGCTGTTCTACAAGTCTTGACAGACTTCACCAATAATAATTTAAGATTTTTTATTTATTACAAATATAAGTAATAGTAATAAACAACAAAATTTAGTTTAGTTTAGTTTTTCCTTTTGCAATAATTTGTGCAAAATTGTAATTTTGCCATTACAGACAACCATATAATTAGACTTGAATTATGGCGAACTAGGGCATCTGTTCAGGACAGAACACCTGCAATTAATTATGAACAGCAGAGGTTTGCCAGTTTGATCAGTTGTTGTTTAATACACATCGATAAACACACTTGAGATATAGTGATTTTTTTTATTTTTTTTTATTATTTATTTATTTTTAAATAGCTCTTACCCAAGCAGATTTGGTATTATTGTGAGGAAGGTCTCTGATGAAGCTGAACGCTCTCCACTGTGTACGGTGAGCGTGAACTGGAACTGATCAAAGTTGTGTTTTAAGAAACTAACAGGAAATGTAAGCACAGGTGAGGAAGTGGGAATGTATTGGTTGAAACAGGAAGTGGTGATGGAGCTGAGTGGTTTACATGTCCATCTGTAGCTATAAAGAGAAAATAAGAAAAATTAAATGTTAGATGTTAATTTCCAAACAAACTTGAATCAGATCTTTTCAGAAGCAAATAAACATATGATTCACTAGAGTTGGATGCAGGGTCTGGGCCAGAAGAGTTGTACACGCCCCCCCCCTTAAAACCTGAGGGGACACCCCTGATGCCCCCCTACCAGAGTCAGAAGGTGATAGGTAGTTGGCTTGTTCGCATCAGAGATGGAATACAGTAAAATACAAATCCAAAACCACAAAGATGCAAAAATGACATGTAAAACAACTGGAAAGAAATGCAAAACCACCAATTTTAAATTTTCAAAGCCCGTCTCTGGTCAGATGCCCATCAAAGACTTCAATGTCGTTGCTACCTGAGTGGGTTCATGGGGAAGTCAGGGTCGTAAGATTTCTGCCCATCCAGGGTGACTACGGTGGTGTTCCTCTTGTTAATGAAGACGTTGGTGCCACCCTGGATAAAAGCCACAGGAGGGCTCGGCATCACCTGAACTCTCAGACTGTAGTTACTGTACACCACACTGCCAATGACTTGTACCTGCAGAGGAATTACAGCTATGGAGTCAAACCACAGTCACTCATTTGTGTGAATGTTAATTTAAGACAAGTAAGAATAAGCGTGAAATTAACATTTGGAGTTTGGGCAATTTCGTCACATTTCTACAAGGGTACAATTATTAAGGATTTTTTTTTTAAATTTCTGAACAGGCAGATTTACATTTGTCTTGTCTTCACACTAACAATAACAGAAATCATATACACTCTGTTCTGATTAAACAAAACTGGAGGAACCCCTTTCTAGGTTAATTTAAAACATATTCTTTTCACTATAACCCACCATTTACAGAATGCCAGTACCCAGTTTAAAGATCCAGGCTATGAAAAGTGATGTATTGCTCTGCCTCCTCCCTGTATGACAGTTTTCAGCTACTTACCCTGGCTATGGCAATGTAGGTGTCATAGTGCAAGAGATGGCTCTGCAGTGTGAGACTCTGCCTGTGTGTGTCTGTTTGAGGCAAATAGTAGGTCTGGCCTGCAGAGTCAAACAGGGTCCAGGTGTATTGAAGACCTCCTGATATGTCACAGTCAATTTCAGTCTCATAGGTCACCCCCAGATATATAACCTCATATCTCCGCACCTAGAGGAAGAGGAGAATTTCCTTTTTAGCTATACTCTACTTACATGTTAAGGTCAAGGTATCAGTCATCCTGGTAATGTACCTGTAGTTTGAGAGGACCCATGTTTTTGACTGGTGGAGGCTGACAAGGTCGGTCCACAACAAAGATGTGACTGCTCAGAGAGGCAGAACTAACCAGGTTAGACACTGTCACTTCGACTCTGAACTCTCCTCTTCTGCAAAGAGAAACACATACACTAAATGTACACAGGCACAAATACACGTTACAGTTAAGCACAGTGGTTACTAATGATTTGATTGAAAGGAAAGCTAACAAGCCGACTAAGACATGCTGTAAGCAAAAGAAATAAATTATAATAAATAAGGTGCAAGTATCTTCACTTTGAAGTCCATTATTTAGGTTCATTAAATAAGGATTAGCAAAAGAGAGTATACAATATTATCACATAAAAAAACAGAAAGTAGTCCATAACAAATAATTAGAGCATCTAAATTCAAATTTACTGGAGTAACCATAAAAATCAAGTAAACCTCTGGCTCACCTGTGGAAGACATGCTGTTCAGTGCTCTGTCCCAGCCTGGATGATCCGTCTCCAAAGTTCCAGAGGAAGGTGAGGTTGGTCCCGACATTGACCCGGCAACTTATTGTCACTGTCTCATTCTGCAGGACTGAGGCCTGGTGGACCAGCCTGTTGAGCTTCACTGCTCTCTCGACCGCCAGCGGGAACACCTCGGAGGTGATGGATGTGTGAGAACTAGACGTGACTGCAACTACGTCAAATCTACATTGGAGAGAGATTGGATTTGTGAGGTATTTTGATTAATGTATATGTGCACAAGCTCTTAAACTCAATGTTGCAAAAAGACATTATTTTTCTTATACTGTAGATCTTATACTGTAGACTATTCACGCTCTGTGTGAAATGCTTGGTTAGAGCTTTGGGCTCATTAAGGCCCCCACCCCCACTCCCACAGTGCATCACTGACACATACAAAATACTGTATACAGTTACATTTACAAAGGGTAACATTAAGCTGCTGAGCTGCTGCAGGAAAACAAAACATTAATCTTAGTACACAAACATCAATCAAACATCATTTTTAAAATTCTTCATCATTATTACACTTAGGCCAGATGTTGTGTATGTTGTCTGTGTCCCATACCTGCCAGGTTTGTGGTATCGTTTGGTGATGGTGCTTGAGGTGGATCTGGCTGATGTGGAGTCTCCAAAGTGCCAGATAAACTCTACAAGGTCTGGCACATCTGCCAGAGCCAGGAAAGTTATATCTGTATTTGTGGGATAGGCTTGTTTTTCTGCATAAATCCGCACTGATAGGACAAAACGGATATCACACGGTCAACATATTATCTATATGCCAGAGAAATGTAAATGCTCCATCAAAAGAGATTAAAAAAATATTGCTGCACAAACAAACTCTTTTTGAAACTAATGCTTGAAATGACAGGAAAAAACTGGCATGATGTCCCATCACAAAAAAATCTGAAAATGCATTATGAGCATATCTACTTGATAATTTTGAAATTTACATTTTCTTTGACGGTGATTGAAAATGCAAGAACTAAATCTAGATAGTAAACTCCCCGACATCTCCAACAGTTTGGTAGTGTCACATTCAGATAAAAGCATGAGGCTTTAATTGAGCTAAAGCTTTATGTAACAAATCATTTGCAGCTATATTGCATGGAGCAAGTTCAATCTGAAAAAACTAAATTAGGAATTTATTCTAGAAATTTTTTATAACACTGATCAGAAACACTTATTGATTTAAGATCTAAGATTTAAGATACACTATTGAGTTTAAATAATAGCCACACTTGGCAAAAATACTTGATTAATGTTCAGATGTTTTGCACTGCTCAGTGGTTGTCAGTTAAAAGTACTTCCTTACCAGTGTCACCCACGCTGTGAACTGGACTGTGACTGGTGGGTGGTTGCCAATTTGGATTAACTCGAACTTGTGGGGACGGCTTCCTGTTCCCCTCAACACACACTCTTACACTTTTGTTCTGAGAAGACACTCGATTCTTAGCTTGAAGCTCAACCACAACTGTCCCTGTGTGATTGAAAAGCAAAACCACCGTTGTTTCCTCTCCTGTAGTATAGCTGCTGTTGCTGTACAGTAATGTTCCATTCACCAGCAGAGAGACAGTCATATTTGACCCTGCTGCAATGCTAAATAAAACTGACTGTTTGTGATTTGTTCTGATCACACTGGGAACATTCAACACCAGCTTTCCAACTAGATCTTGAACCAGCATCTGTGTTTGAAATGAGTCCCAGCTGACTGGGTTAAAGGCTTTAACTGTGACATTATAATGCCCTGCTAATGAAAGAAGCACATTTATGTTCCATTCCTTGGTTGTCCTGTTCATCACAACAGCATTATCCAAACTAAAGGTCCAAGTTATTCTTGACCCCATGCGGCTGCCATGGCTGACAACCTTCAGGTTTAATTTTGAGTGTGTTGGAACTACTGACATCCAACTCCCAGAAGGCCTCAGGGCACAGATATGATCATAGACCATTAAGGCTTGAGGCAGGACAGTGGAGAGCAGCACTGATGAAGGATCAGAAGTGGAGACAACAGATGCTGTGAGGTTATATTGTCCTGCTGTCGTGGGGAGGTGGCAGCAAAGGTGGAGGTGCAGACAGCAGCTGGACTGATTGGAGGTGTGGAGAGGGATGAAACGGTGGAGATAGGAGTGGGTGCCTCCATGACCAGAGATATTACTGTGGTGTTGATTGAGGCTGTGATCATCAATTATGTTGCCATGATTACTGTAGTTACAGTCATGATCATTGCTGTTTTCCCAGTCGGTAATGTCAGTAATTTTGCTTTTATGACTCTCAGTTTCATTTATGCTAGTAGTGTTGGCGCTGTTGTTATCAGTTTTATTACTGTCATCCTTGCTTATATTATTCTTCATGTCACTGCTGTCAAAGCGGCGGGTGTTAATGTCAATGTTGCCCCCACAGCAGGTCTCAATGTCCTGTCCTTTGCTGCTGGGTTCGCCACTGTTCTCATAATTGTGGTCATACTCTGCATTTAGTGTGAGGTTGAGGGCAAGTAGGTGCTTCATGGTGGTGAACAGCTCCACATCCACAGAAATGCACTCTCCGGTTCTCAGATGATTTCTTGAAACACTAACTTTAAGGTCAGAAACAGTAGGACTCACAACTACCTGCAAGAGCACAGAGCCACATTATGTTGCAAGTAAACAATATGCCAAAAAAAAAAAAAAACATCGAAATGTGAGATGGAAAGATAAGTCTGGTCACACTTGATATTTTTGTTACTGTTAATAAATCCCATGAAAAGTCCAAAACCAACAATGAATGATCAGGTGCTTGTCTAGCCAAAGCTTGATAGAACTTGTTACTCTGTGAATTAAAACACTATTTAAAACCACAACAATAAACTACATTCTTGCAGTGGGTGACATAACCAATGGACGTGGACACTGTAGTTTATTTTGATTCAATCCCACACCATCCTGCTGTTGTAAATTCTGCACCAAATGTGTATTAATCCACAGTTGAAAACAGTCCCCCCCAAGTTTGAATAATGTTTGCTAAAAACTACAGTTCTCAACTGTTTCAGGAAATGATTTATCCTTTTTTTTTTTTTTTTTCTTTACATCTTGAGTAGGAACCAGTGACAAGAGTATGAGAGAAGGACTAACACATTTTTGGTTTTGGTCTTTTAATTGCATTTGTTGACTATAAGATAAATATGAGTCTCACCATCCTTACCGTATGATCATTAATGCCACATTAGGATAATATAGTCACTGAATGAAAGCATAGTACTTACAACATGTATTGCCTGCTGTGTCCATCCATTGGCACTGGAGGCATTCACTGACACAGTGTGAACTCCCTCTGATTCAAAGGTCCAGTTCTGGGGGAATTTAGAATTCAGATTTAAAAAATGGAAAAAAAAAAACGCTTTTGTTAAATGAAATTTCCTCTTTGATATTTTTTAATGTAACAAAAAAACTATTTTTCAGCAACATATGTGCATCAAAGTTTGATTATGTCCCTTTCTCATTCAGGAAGAGGCTACAGAGTTCACTAAGTAACTCGGCACATAGCAGCCAGTTAGTTTTGATGCTCTTTTTAACTTTTTCCATTCTTAGTGTTGACCCTTGACCTCTATGAATTCTGAAAGGTTTGTGACATAATTTAACATGAGTAAAACCTAAGTAAAAGTTACATTAAGAAATGTTTGTTTTTGCACACCAGACCTACTATAAATTCTAACTGCATATAATCGATCATTAATCTTTAATGCAATTATTCATATTATATATTTAACCATTTTAAAAAGCCTTGGAAAATGCACATCTCCATATTTGAAGATGATACGAGGAAGAAAATGAAAGTAGGACAAAAACACTGTTTTTATCTTGATATTGAAGGGGTTGTAATCTGATATTCTTTCTTATAAATCAATTACAGGCCAGACTGTAAACATGAGGGGGCAGACATAAACATAATGAATTCACTGGTAGCATATTGTTGTCATTTAAAGCCACCAGTATACCAACGTCGCTTCATATAGCTTAGGTAATGAAGTTTTGTTGATTTGTGATCAATAGAAACTGTAAAAAAAAAAATCACTTATCAAAGGAGGATTCAGCCATCATTACTCAAAACCTTTCATTCTAAGATACATGCATATCATAGTTATAAAGAAATATTTTCTCAGTCCTACATACCAAAGTGCTGTTCAAACAGTCAGACTTGGGGAAGCAAGCTGTATTTATAGCTTTTCTCTCTCCCTCCACCTCTTTGTTTTCCGTTCTCTTTTCGTGAGTAAACCACCAGCAGAACCCCGTTGCCAGACTTTCACCCACGTATGCCTGCAGTGTGACAGGGTCGCCCAGGTATGCTGCTTGCATGGCCACACTGTGCGAGTCTGTCTGTTGCAGATGCACACATGAGGGGACGCCCAAGGGCCCGTGGAGCACAGAGATCACCAAGCCATCTGGAGAGTGCTGTAAGACGGAGAGGTGGAGGGTGGAAGAGAGTGTAGAGAGGAGGTTGGAAACCCTGACATCTAAACAGAAAATTACAAGATAGGGAGACAAAGGAGAGCGATGGCTTTACTACACAGTAATATATATTTTCTCTATTAATTCATTAATTGTTCATCATTAACAAAAGTTTTCTTTTGTTGACTTACTAATTTCATATTTTCCTGGAGTTTCCAAAATCCAATCAGATGACACAACAAAAGAACCATCATCCAACAAGCTGACATAATGTGAGCTTTGACCTTTAGGGGTCGTGTCCAGGAACTCCATAGTGACATAAAAGAGGTCCTGCCGTCCCAGACTCCAAATCCCTGAAAATGACAGAAAAAAACGAGTTTGAACTGCGAAAAACAAAACACTGATGTATGCGATATACTTTTTTTTCTTTTAATTATCTAAACATTTATCAAACATTTAGCAAATCTCTCTTGAGTTTTTTTTATGGGTGTAAATAGATTCTTCTACATAAAAACTAATTACAAGGACATTCTGAATGAAACACTGTTCAGCATAACAAAAAATATTTTCTCAAAAATGATCATTTTAAGATCAGATCTTGATCAGTTATTTTGTATTACATCATTTTTTATAATTATAGAAATAATAAATTGACATTATTTTGAAAAATATATTATGCTAATTTTTTAACCACATTACACATCTGCAGCTGTTATGAAACTATTATGGATACGCATGAATGAATACACAACTTTATGCAGCCTGCTTCCAGTTTATATCCAGACATGTAAGTGATTAATTCTTTGAAGTGGCTTTAATAAAAATTTTTGTAAAAGGACTGAACCTTTTTAAAAGTTAAAATAAATAAATAAATAAACAAATGCTGTTGTTCTAAAATTCAGTCTTGGAGCAGCCCTGCCTATGGACAAACCCTCTTCCTGTAATTTTAATGATAATTTTTTATAATAGTAAATAATATGATATAACAATAGAATCATAAATAATATAATTAATGATATATAACATTAATTTAAACAAAAACCCAATCACTTTATATCAAACCATGAGGAATATACAACAGACAGAAAATTTATTTACACAATTACAGTCACAGAAAATGAATGTTAAGGAAATAAAATACAATGTTAAATATTTTAAAAATGTATTTTTACTTATAAATAAAGAAGAAAAAACTTTGTTAAAAACAAAGTTTTTTGTAAATTCAAAGTATTTAAAATGCAGGAGTCAACCTCTTTGCAAACTGAAGACTCGTATTTCCAAGAACCTGTAAAATACAGTATCAGCTGACCTGTGGGCTGGTTGGGGCGTCCTGCCAGGCTTCCAGAAACTTCCACAACAAAAGTCTTCCCAGCCTGCACTCTGTCTACAGAGGAGGACAGACTAAGGCTGTGCAGAAATGGTCCTTCAGTTCTGTAGAGTGCCACAATCCCCTGTTCGCCTCCAACAGGCAAGTACAGCACACTGGAAAGAAAAGATTCACAGTTAAAGCATTCAGCATAGACAACACAAAAAGCTTCTGGGACTTTGATACTGGCATGCAGAGTGGGTGTAATTAATGAGCTGGTCCTTAAAACTCTAAACAAATTTTAAATATTTTACTCTGACTGAATTTGGTGGCATCGAGATGTAACACCTGGGTTTGTGCCTCCACTCACTTCTGGATCAGGACATGAAACAGAGCTAGAGCAGTCATGGTTAGATGCTGAAAGCAAAAGGCTGCAGTCTGCCTCACCTTTGTCTTTCACTTTCCCCTCCGACATCTGACCCTCTGCTGGAAGATGCATTGAAACATTCACTGATGACCAAACCATGTAGTTGGTGGTTGCCACAGTAACAACTCTCCAAGGTCATCGCTGCAAACTGGTACCTTGAACAACAAATAATGAAGGTTAATAGTTTTTTTTTTTTTTTTTTTTTTTTTAATAGTTTCTGAGTGTTACACATGCAGTGCAGCATAGTGAGATAAAAATGAAGGACTATGGACCATACCATGTATTTTCTGTGAGAAGCAAGTCTGGTGTTTGACTTTAAATTCTCGGGTATATGTCAGGATGAGAACCTATCACAGCTGCTCAACTAACTACAAGTGTTTGAGGAATTTATAAGAGTGCTGTTTTCATAGCCTACTTATTATTTTACTTATGTTTGTTTATTTAACAGAGTTCAATTTGATGAGCAATAGGCAACAACATTCGTATCGGTCTGCAGCTGAAGCCAGTTTACATCCCCGTCCCTGTAGTCTTTGATAGATTATTCTAAAACAGGATTATCAGTGTGACCACGGAGAAGCGACATGGTCCTGAGAGGAGTTCATTTTTTAAAAATCACAAAAGCAGAATTTCAATGTAATTTTACACAAGACATATCCCTACCGGCTTTGTCTGAAGTGCAACTGCCTCGGCTGCTCTACACCCTTTCCCCGAACTTACCCCTCATCCAGACAGCGCACAGAGCAGGTTACCGGGTCAAGGTCATGGGCACCCTTGGCTGTATAAAGTCTGAGGAAAGATGAGTCGCTGTCGTTGACGCAGCCCATGAACCACGGTGAGTTGTCATGACCTGACGGATGGACTGCCGCAGACAGGATATTAAAAAACGGATGCAATGAAATGAACATATAAACAAAAGGAGTCAACATATCTGATCCGTGAAGTTTGTGGCCAAAGGCCGCAACAAGACAGAAGCTGAGGCGAACAGCTGGACTGACCGATGCATTTGATGTGGGCACACAAGTTAAAGACTGAGGAGAGGGGAGGAGAGAAGCAGGTGCCGTGACAGCACAAGTTCTGCATACAAGGTGTGGGAGGTGAGAACAGAGAGGGTGACTGTATGCAAACGAAGCAACTAAAGAGGCTGTGAGGAAGGAGGAGGCTGGTTTCACTGAACGGAGATCAAAGAGACAAATAAGAGGCCTGTTAATATGATACAAAGCAGTAAAATATGCCTTCAATTAATAAGTTACAATGCATTTGAGATCTTAATTAGTTTTAATTTTTGTGATAACGTATGTGTCTCATTACTGTGTTTCATGCAATGCTGCTGGGGCACAGTGGATCACTGGTGTCTTTACTGAAACAGTTTTCCTGTGCGTGGCGTTATGACGTTTGGTGATTTAAATAAACTCGTGTGTGCTCTTTAAATATGATTTTGCCTATTCAAAGTTAGCCTCAAATTGTATTACAGTGTACTGCTGTGCTCTTTATTCTGTGAAAATCACAGTTAGGACAAAGGTCGCCACTCAGTCCACTTTTGTTTCCATAAAGCAGTTTCCAGATGAACAAAGGCTGCTGGTCCTTTTGTCACAAAGACTAAATGATGTGGCCTAATGAAGCAAAGAAAATCGTGAACACGTTAAACAAAACAAACAAACTAAAAAGCTGCGGCGAAAGAAGGACAGGAGGCGTTTCTGTTATTTTTGTCTAACCCCGTGTGTAGCTTCCCCTCTGATCTGAAGATGCGTCTGTGGAATTATGTTGTTATGAAACCGTTTCACACTGAGCTAAACTCAGCTGGCCTTAAGTGACCTGGCCACGCGCCCACATGCTTCAGGTAGACTCACAAACTACATCACGCGAAGGACATGAATTATTTATTTATAGCCTACGTTTGTGGGACCAAGGTCAAGCCATGAAGAAAATCTCATTATTGATTTGATTCCGTTATTATCCAACAGCCCATTTGAAGCCGGCTGGACCACTTGAGGGCCAGACACTGATTTCTATTCTTTCATCAACATAAAAAAAACAAAATCTGGAAACTTCAGAAGCATCAAATCTACATTTTATTGACTCAATAGGAATCTGGTACCAGAGTATTTTTTTTTTAGGGACGAGCCGTGGATCGTCTTCCAGCCCACCTGAGTGAGCTGTTATAGCAATTATACAATATCCAATGCAAAATATGAAAAAATAGCAATCTTGCTGGCCATTTGGTTTTATTCTGAGTCCTAAATTATTTTTCTGACAAGAAAATGACATCGGGTTGACGCATCCTGCATGTTGAGCTTCAACTGTGTGGATTAGTGCCTTAAATGATCACTCTGCACAGGTCGAGGCCGCCGCTTATTTGCTTAATTCAAGGGATTCTTCAAAAGCGCCCTGTTAAACTGGAAATGGTAGAAATGATCTGATAAGCAGTTTATTTGACAACTTGGTTTAAGAAAGGTGAGACCGTCAGCCCCAGCACGAGTCTGAAACTCCTCAAGACGTAATTTTTTCTGCTGAGTAAGTCTGGGCTCTCAGGTTAAAAAATGCAAAAACACAACGGAACTGGTGAAAAGTCTTTCGTCTGAGTCCAGGTTGCCCTGTGAGCCCTTTGCTGGAAAAAAAAAACATAAAGCGTCCTCGTCGTGCAGCTAACTCCGCCGGTCCACCTTAAAAAACTCTTCCGGTTTTCCAGACATCCCCTTTAAGAGAAATTTCCTCCCCTCCTCGTGGCCAGCAAGGGGCGCTGTCAGACCGCGTCATCTCTTCAAGCTGACTGTACCAGAGAGGGGCACACAGCGGGGGAATCAAACACATTTTCTCTGTCCATTTTTTATACGCAATACTCGCAGATTTGGGCGATTTCGTTTTGTCTCTGCTCTCGGGGACTCGCAGACGACTTTACATAATAACAAACACCAGCTACACACATATGCGACCACAGACACCCAAGCAAATCTTATTTGCTCCCCAAAAACTAAATGGAGGGATTTTTGTTGAATTATTATTGATTCATTTGCATATATGAAAACAAAACAGTCGTGGGGGTCAAACCTGGGCTATTTCAAACCCATATTCATATTAAATTGGGGTTATTCCGTGTGAATTCATTTATACAGAAAATACATAATGCTTTATTTGCTGCCGGACCCCCCGGAGCCCATTCGAGGACCCCTGGAGGTCCCCGGATCACACTTTGAGAAGCATTTTCTTACCAAAGCCTAAACGCCAATATGAAGTGTTGTGGTCGTGACGGTGCGTAAAACTAACCTCAGGCCTACTTAACTCGAATAACCTGCTTAATTCGTTAAGCGCATGCGGTGCCTTCAGTCTGTGCATGCGCCGATACAATCAACAAACGATCAACTCAACGAAATCTTTAAAAAAAAAGAGCCGCTGGATGAGCGTTATGGCGCTGCGTAACGGAGAGTGGTAATAAACAGGCGAAGCGTTATGTAAGCGCCTGCAGTCTGCGCTCCTACCGAGGACACAGAGTCCGCCCGAGAGTCGAGTACAGCTGACTCCGGTAGACTGTGAAGTCGCTTGAGGTGGAGCGATTCTGAGCAGATATTGTCTTAATGATGTTGTCATAAGGAAGCAGGTAGCAGAGGGAAAACAAGCAACAAATTTAGTTTGATCACCTCTCCTTCGCATCATTTTAACGAGTTTATCAGCTGGCATCCAACTATATCAAAGGAATTTATGGAATGAGACAACACTACATAATGCTGTCATATAAAAACATTTTGTTTCAAAGACGGAGATATAAAAATAAAATGAAGATGTATGATGGTCACTGCTGGAGGTCATAGTCGAGCCACCTTTTTTCAGTCATTTCTCTTCATCTGAAGATAAAGTTTTGGATACATTTTAATAAAAAAATGTTTCCTGAGTGCTTCACCCAAAGGTAGATCTAACAGTTTATGTGTTGTTTTGAGCATGCTGACTGGAACTCCCTCTTTTCTAACTCAAATCATTTTGGTTTTCTGGAGTTATATTAACCCTTAACAACCGTCCTTTTCCCTCACTTGTCTTTCAGGACTTTCTACAAATTCAGTTACATATTTTAATGCATTCATTATCCAAATAATTAGGCCTGATATCACCAGACCCCATCTGCCATTTAGCGAAATAAATAACCTGGTATGTAGTAGCTTATTCAGCAGCTTTTTCTTTTGAATGAATTCATGTTTTATAAAGAGGCTTTATGGAGGCAGTGGGTTGGTGATTTTTTTTCAGTATAATTTCATCAAAGTGTTTCTGAGAGCCAGAAATGAATGCAGGACTCATGAATCCTTCTGAGTCAACCACACTTAACCTATGGCAACGATAAAACAATTTCATTCAGATAAATAATTTGTTTATCATGTCAGATTGCAAAAGAATGTTCAGGTGTGACCACTGAGGTCTCATGTGGCCTGTTCATTAAACAACTTTGTGAGACTTTGAGTCAAACTTTTATAATAATTTTGTGTGGTTTCAAACCTCTCCGTTCATCAGCATTTTGATATTTGAGGATGATTGTACTAAAAGAATCAGCTTTTGATAAAGTCAGGCCGAGAAAAGAAAAATGCTGCATCATGTTGCCAAAACACAAGTCAAACAAGGTTAGATTAGGTAGTCCTGGCGAGTTTCCACAAAAGAGAGAATTAGTTTTACTTGAATAAAGAATGGGAAATGACAAGTGAAGTAGGGTGTATCCATTTTTGTTTCATTTCATATTTTAAAACATAAACATATTCTTCATATATTTCACCAGCTGTTTATTGCAGTGCCATGTAGTTTGGGTATTTTCATGCATTCAGTCAGACACAGCTTTCATATTTCTATCTAACCATAACCTTTTGACAGATAACAAATGAATGGTTGAAAGGCATGAATTCAAATATTAAAACTAAAGCCCTGTGTCTCAGTATTAATAGATGATCATGTGATGCTTGTTGTGTTCATTAATTAATGAAGGCTAAATCACTGGCAGTTAAGTGATAATGAATGAACGTGTCATCCAAAGCTCTGTGCAGACCTGTGCCTCTGATGATCCTCTCAAAAAGCAGAACAGAGGCTGATTCTTCTCTTTGTGCACACAACTTGTTAAAGGGACTGCAGCAGAAAATGAGCTATTCAGTTGTTGCTTGCTCCCAAACTCTCTGCATCTGCTCCTTGTTCAGTGTATTGCACCAATTCATTTAAGATGCTCAGCCATACATCCATAAAAGAGGCCTGGATACACAGCACTTTTTTTTTTTTTTTTTGGAGGGTCATGATAAACCAAAAGTAGTTCCGGGTGCATGTCTGAGAGAGGTCAGAGGAGAATGAATGTCTGCAGAAGGGTGTGGTTGGTGGCATGGTGTTAATGCACAATTTAACAATCACCTTAAATTCATGTAAATATGTAGTTAAGCTAAGAGAATGGTAAAGTGATCTCATAGAGAAACAGTGCAATGGTGGTTCAATATGTCTATTAGGACACGTGGATTTATAATGCTTTTTTATCCGAAAGCTTTATTAAAGCATAAATTGTGCCTCCTTAAAATAAAGCCTTAGTCCTTTAAGCTGCCTCATTTGAGCCACCACTGTGCTTAAACATATAAGTTAAACATCCTTATTTAAAAGCTATTGACAGCTTTTTTCCCCAAGGGTGAAGGAGCTCCGATTACTCTCCAAACAATCCTTAATCAGGCCAAATGAAATAACAAGGATCCACTGTAACAGGCAGATCTGGTCAGAGCTGGATCACCAGGAGCAGCCTCCTGTTTTACAACAACAACTAGGGGGAAAAAAATGTTTTAACAAGGTGAAAACAGAAAATTGGACTTAAGAAGCATCAGGAAAT